GGTCCTGCTGCTTCTGTCTCCACTTAGCACAGACCGGAGAGCTTCTATCTGGTACTTGCTGGACGCCTGCTCTTCCCCTCGTTCCCGGTACATTAAGGCTTCGGTGGTGTTGACCTGGCCTTCATAATGCATCAGGCCTACTCCACAGCATGGTTCTCAATGATGTATTTAAATTAGTCTGTCATACACATCATACTAATGGACCGCTTGTGCTGTAGGTTACAGTTTGTTCCTGTTTTCCATGACAACGCTGTGAAATGAGAACGAAGACAACTTCCTGAGGTGTTATGAACTGGATATTACCTATGCGTAAGTGAGATGATTCATTTATTCATATGATGTCCATTAACTCTGTGGCAGACCACAGAAACAGTAAAGTATATCTATCATACTAATATAATATATATATATATATATATATATATATATATTATATTAGTATGATAGATATACTTTACTGTTTCTGTGGTCTGCCACAGAGTTAATGGACATCATATGAATAAATGAATCATCTCACTTACGCATAGGTAATATCCAGTTCATAACACCTCAGGAAGTTGTCTTCGTTCTCATTTCACAGCGTTGTCATGGAAAACAGGAACAAACTGTAACCTACAGCACAAGCGGTCCATTAGTATGATGTGTATGACAGACTAATTTAGCTGAATTTTCAGCATCATTACTCCAGTCTTCAGTGCCACATGATCTTTCAGAAATCATTCTAATATGCTGATTTGGTACTCAAGAAACATTTCTTATTAATATTATCAGTGTTGCAAACAGCTGCTTAATATTTTCAGGATTCTTTGATGAACCGAAAGTTCAAAAGAACAGCATTTATTTGAAATAGTATTTTTTTGTAATACTAAAAATGTCTTTGTATTTTTTATCAATTTAATGCATCATTAATGAATAAAATAATTTATAATAAAAAAGTTATATTGTCAATAATTCATATTTTTAAATTATAATTAATAAAATAAGTTAATGAAATCATTTTATTATTTTACTATAATTTTATTTGATAATAAATACGATACAATTTTAATAATTAATATTTTCATAAATAGATTTCCTGCTATTCACTACAAACGTAGAAATGCACTAAAAAGGCACTACACTTTTCCTTATCTGTAACAATATTGTGGACTACAACAAGTTTAGTAGAACTAATTTTTATGGTATATTGCTTTATAAATGTAAACTCTTGGGTGCCCATAATGCAAGTCTAACACTTTTTCTTCTTTCACTTCTATTGCTTGCTTAAAAATGAATTCTGTTAACATGCTGGAGGCTTTTTTCAGTTGTTGTTCCCAATCAGTCTTGTGTTCAGGGCTATTTCTGTTTATTTTTTTACCAGTCTGTCCTCACCTTGAAGGAAATGATGCCTGAAAAGCCGAAACATATATTTTCACAGTAATACCCTAGCGCACAGTACACACATTCAGCCAGAACAATATACTAATATTACTTGCAACAAGATTAACTTAACAGTCCAGTCCATGTCTATAAATAAAACATGAAACAACCAACAGCATACGGCCACAGATAATCTAATCGTTTGAAGCTATCGTTATTAAACTGAAGAAAACAGAACAAAGCAAATCATTTGAGGTATGACGAATTCAACCAATTCCAAACAGCAAACTGTACAAATGTTTCAATAACAAACCTGAATCAAGTTCTTTATAATGTCTCTAGTCATGCTCAGCGGTGTGCATCCATAAGGCAAATACATCATTTGATGAAAAATTGGCACAAAACTGCTCCAAAAAATATCTAGTCACATACAGGACTAAGCGTACAGAAGATGAAATGCACTAGCATGTCTATATATCATATGCATTTGTCAACTTGCATGTACAGACAGGCATTTAACTGCCTATGCATTTTAAGAATTTGGCAAAAGACAGAGATTCATAAGAAAATGCTACATGAGAAGGAAAGAGATAGGAGTAGCACTGCAGGAACGCAACATACAGCAGAAGCTAAAATGCATACCGTACACCATATATCATGAGAGCTTAAGACATTTCCATTAAAACATGAACATGCTGGTTTCACAGCAATGGCAGCAGCAGAAGAGTTGTATAATACTTGATATTTCTCAATAAGGCAATATCTTTACATATAAAAGAATGGCACGTTGCTTAGCACAGTGTTAAGATTGACTACATCATGTATAAGCCTACTATTAATCATATATACACATAATAAACATGTGCAGGACTTCACAAGTGAAATCGTTACTCCTTATCTATGCTTTATCCTTACTGATTTAGCTTATGTCCTGTTGTGCGTGTGTGGAGGCACATAAGAGTATAGGCCGTTAAAAATGTTATGAAATACTTTATATTTCTGATATATATATATATATATATATATATATATATATAATATAAAAGTGTTATTATGAAACACATACACTGCCCTCCAAAAGCAATTTAAAGAAGTTTTGTGTTTAAATCGATTTTTCTCAGTAAACAAAACTGTGGATCTGAGATTAACTCCAGAATTTACTTGTGGACTATCAAGAATTTAAGAAAATATTAACCTACGTGCAGGTTAAAAATAACAGTACATTTTAGAACTTTCGCATACTAAGGAAAAAAACTGACTACAGAGTCTGCCCTAGACAAGCAGGTTCTGCTCATGGCATCTGTACAGATCTGGCAGAACATCAACAGGGAAAGATCAGCCTTGTTCTGTGATGTCTGTAAATAGCACAGTATGGGAAGTCATTTACGAAGATCAGTTCATCCAAAACATAATATTCTGTCATTATTTACTCACTCTCATGTTGTTCTTAACCTGTATAGTGTTATTTTATTCTGTGGAAAACAGAAACACACACACACAAAAAATGTTGTATGTGCCCTACCATAAGTGTCTGGACCTCAAGAACTGCTGAGACTGAATCAGTGAGCTAGTGAGTTGAACTCAAAGACTGGATAAGTGAACAAATTGTTTGGATTAGGATTGGATTAGGTTTACAAATTGGACTATAAAAGTCATTCCTGAATTGTTTAACTGACTGACTTCACTCTTAAAAATAAAGGTTCTTTATTGGCATCAAGGGTTCTATGAAGAACCTTGAACATCCATGGAACCTTTCAAATGCAGAAAAGGTTCTTTGTAGTCGAAAAAGGTTTTTTAGATTTTTTTTTAGGAACTGTTCACTGAAAGGCTCTTTGGGGAACCAAATATGGTTCTTCTATGACATCACTGCAAAAACACCCTTTTGGAACCTTTATTTTTAAGAGTGTTCATGACCCAGTCTAAATGGGGGTGAACATTATCACTGAATAACAGCTTCAATTTTGGTTTGTTCATCACACAAAGCTTTCAAATGACATCAGGAGATTTAGAATATAGCGCACAAGCCATATTGATGACTTTTATGGGTCTTTAAAGTCATGATCTATTGTTTTTGTAAATGATGAGGCTAAGATCTGCCTGAAGTATAAATAAATCAAATAAATTGAATTGAACTATTGAACTATTCCTTTAGCTTATGTTGGAATATGCAATATTAATGCAATTCATTGTGTCAAATGGTTTGCCAAACTGTCGGTGTACCTTTAATATACTTGTAAATGTTTGGAGCACAAATAACCCCAAAAAAATTGAATAAAAATCAAACACTTTGGGGGCACAAATAAATACAATTCAAAATCAGAAGAAAATCAAATGCTTTTGGAAGGCACTGCAACTACAACAGACACCTAAAACAAGTCAGGACCCAGTATTCAAGCATCATAGGCAAGCCCAGGACCAATCGAGCTTGTAATCCAAAGGCTCCTTCTTCACCATCATATACCTCTACTGTGCTTCTCTAAAAACAGAGAACATGTAAGAGTCACAAAGCGCTCAAAATAAGCTCATCTATACAACTTAACAAGCAATACTTTTTCTGTACAAACGTATAAACAGCATAGAATTACATCTGTGAGAAATTCACTGACTGGGTTTCCAATATGTGGCTTGAGAACTCTTAAAAGTCTACGGTTGTAAATCAAAAAAGATACTCCAGTTATTATTTCTTCTATTATAATGCATGATTTCATAAAATAGCTGTAGTTAAAAGTAGCTTTTGTCCCTGTGTAGAGGCTGTGGTGCACAAGATTATGCTGTTTCTAGAGGACATCACTGAATTAACTGTCCTGACAAGAATTATAGCCTTATTTAATGGCAAGTCTTTGTCTAATAAAACAAGTCCAAAAATTGGCACATCTTTCCCAGCTATTCTGTAATGTAACTCCCATTGTAAATGCATGTATACATTTATAGTGTCTTCTTCAATATAAACCTGCTACATGTTCAAAGGTAACACATAATAAAACTTGCCATACAGTTTGCATTGCACAGCAAAGACTCTACAAGCGCTTTCTTTTGACAATTCCCCTGGATACATTAAAGGGGTCATATGATGCGATTTCAATTTTTCCTTTCTCTTTGGAGTGTTACAAGCTCTTGGTGCATAAAAAAGATCTGTAAAGTTGCAAAGACTAAAGTCTCAAATCCAAAGAGATATTCTTTATAAAAGTTAAGAGTCAACCACGCCTACCTAAAACGGCTCGTTCTAACACGCCCCCACATGTCTACGTCACGATGTGGGAAGATTTGCATAACGCCGCCCAAATGTTCACGCAAAGAAAGAAGGCGTAACTTTTATTATCGCTGTAGTAGTGTTGCTGCCGCCATGTCGCGAAGACGTTGTGTGTTTCGTTGTGAAAGCGAAACTACTTTGTTTGGCCTTCCAAAAGAGGACACGACTAGAAATCAGTGGTTAAGTTGTATTTACAACACTGTTGCAGAACAGTTCAACCCAAATATTCAGATGTGTGCAGCACATTTTATGGCGGGGCATAGAGGAGAAACAATAATGTACAGTATGTGGAAAATAAGGTGTTTTTTTTTTACCTTAAACCGCATATACACATTTCATTACACCAAATACACCAAATAATGTTCTTTTTAGCAACATCATATGACCCTTTAATACAAATAAAGACAAGTTCATTTTTCACTTTTTGAACAAGCAAAGGTAACACCTTGTTCAGTGGGCTAATATTACAAAAACTTGTCTCAACATTTTCTAGTAATGATCTCAAATATTACAGTCATATATAGTGATGCTAAAATACACATCTGCACCACAACCCCATTTTGTAGTGTTTTAGCATATTGAAAAAGTTCATTTGCTGAGATTATCCATCTGGCTATGGCAGAGGATAAAATGTGCAGAAAGGATGCAGCGCTCAAAATGGCTCCCATAAATCTGAGAAAGCAGGTTCCCTTAACAAGATCAAAAAATATCGACTCGTCCACAAAACTAAAATATTTTGGGAACCTTAATATGATGCAATGGAATATTTTTTATATTCCATATGCAAGCAAATCCAGGTTAAGGAAATCACAGTAAAGCTATACGTCTTTCACTTGTGTGTAAACAATTTTGTATAAAGATATGTTTGAATTTATCTTATTGAATCTATTTCATCCCAATGCCACTGTAGCTCTAGATCTGTATCTCTGTAATAAGATAAACACATTTTCAAAATGGTTCTCAGACACAGCAAGCGAGCATATTTCTGTAGTCATTTTTTTTTGCATGTAACCAGCTGATGTTTCTGATTGTTAATTGATAATACATTTAAACTCTCGGCGAGCTAGCGTAGCACTACTGCAACAGCTGACAGAAAAGAAACGTTTTCAAAATTCATGTGCAGAATTTCCGTCCCGTGTCGCGCCATTCATGCAACTTTGGTTTCCAGCAGTGAGAAGGTCCAAAAAGCGCTTTTTAGTCCCTTCATGGGGTCAGGTTTCCCAGAAGGTCTGGGGTGAGGTACCCCATAGGCATGGTTGGCATTGCTGGGAGGTGTTTGTTTGGGCTGTGAGGGCATATTGCGGGCTGTGAGGAAGGAGGATTCAGGAGGAGGCTGTGCTGGGCGTCTACTTCCTGCACTACAGTATAGCCTGACACTGGGGGCAGTATGGGGACTGGAGGAGCTTCGGGAAGAAGGTACGGTATCTGGGAATCACTGGTGGACACCAGGTACTCCCCGTTCCAGAGGTTCCCCTCAACAGCTTGGGTTGGAAATGTTTGGTACCCCTGCTCAGGACCAGGGCTGGGCGGCACGTCGGCGGAAAGTTGCCTGGCTGTGTTCTCTGAGGTGTAGGCTCCATCGGAAACCAGCTGGAACGGTATCTTCTTCTCATTCTCTTCTTCCTTCTTTTTCTCCGGAGAGCTGTTCAGTTGTCCAGGTGAAAGCACCACTCCTCCTGCTGGTGTGAAATCGCTTACTTGGGCATAAAAGTCCATGTTAACCCAGCTGGGCACAGCGGGTTGCGTTTGAATGGGCGTCTCCTCAACTTCTGATGTCTGTTGGACGCCAAGGTCAGGGATGGACGAGCTGCTTCTGGAAACCAGAGGGTGGTTATCTCCCCGTCCAGAATGGCCAGGCAGAAGGGCAGCCAAGTCCTCGGGATTTGGGATTTCTGGGTCGTAGCAGCTAGCACGACCCGAATCGTCGTCACTTTTGAAATGAAGGACGTGAGAAGAGCCTGAGCGGGACAAGCCCAGCAGATGTTGTGTATCAGAACTCTCATTCTTCTCTGCAGGGTCATCAAGGTCCAGCTGGATGAACTCCACCCATGGATCCTCATGGTAGAAGTCCGGCTTGTACATATCCTGACTGCTCAGCAAAGAATTGAGCTGGTCAAGCTTTCCATTCTGTCAGTGAAAGAGAGAATATATGGTGTTATTAGATAGGACATAAGTGCTATTAAAAAAATTACAAATAAAATAAAACTGTGATAGAAAAAATACATTACATTACATTCATACATTACATTTTTATGTAGGCATAGGTGTGTTTGTTCTCGATTGCTCTTGGGGTTTAATTTTTTCATTTTTAATTTAAAATTGTTTAATTTTTTTTAAATTTTACACTACACTCTAAAAATGGAGTACGAGGGTTGTTTAATTAACAAGTCCCCAAGCTTTTTGGAGGTTTTAATAATTATGGGATAACACCCACAACATGTCAACAATTATGACCTTTTCAAAACAATCAGGTTCTGCAGTGATTCATGCCATTTTGCAGCTCATGCAAGATTTGCACAGAGGCTTAATCTTTTCAGTATAATTTTATAATGCAACACTGAAATGATTCTTATGTAAGACTAATGTTCTTAATGTTCGTAATGTTCTTATTCATGAATTCACCTCTCATTGTTTTGCTGACAATTTCTGTAAGTGTAGGCATTTTATGACGAGCAACATACCAGGCTTTGTATGGTAATTCTTTGTAATTCAAAAAAAACAAACAAAAAAAAACAATCAATCAGTAATTCTTAAATCTTTTATCCTGTCTTTTTTATCAGCAAAAACACACTGGACAATACATTTTCCATGCTATATATACTGTATTACACATTATTATAATTACTTGCAGTTGCAAAAACAAGACGAATGTAATTTGTATTAAAAAATTTAACAAAATAAAGTACATGTTCATGTAAAGTTATAAATGTTTAATGTAGAATTACCTTCAGCAGCTCTGGGTCGATGCCTTTAATTTTAGGTGCAGGAATAGGTGGTAAAAATATTACCATCAACCTGTGAAAACAAATTAGCAAAATTTTGTAAATGAAAACCATTATATGCATTTGTAATTGTGTGTTGTTCCAGGGGTTGTGCAGACAGAGAAATTCACAGCTTATAGCTTAACATGAAAACTAATTACAAAAAATACTTAAATATTAACCTTACATTTTAAAAAAGGGGGCTTCATTTTCATTGTGTAGAATCACGTTTTTAATCTATATTTTTTTGTCTTTTATTTTGGGTTGAAAAATGACCGTATTTGTGAGATACACTTTATAGGGGTTTAAAAAAACTCTCACCTCTGCTGCTGAGAGAAGATGAGGAGGACAAGAAGAATCACCAATCCAATCACTCCAAAAATCAACACCAACGTCGTCGGGAACGTTGATTCTGTGCAAAGAGAAATGGTCTTTTCTTACCCTGGAGCAATTTGCTTAACTGATTCCTGATGGTTGAGCTGCACAGCTGCTTTCACTTTGTGCAAACAACAAGTCAAGTTTCTGGCGTCGACTAACCTTTGCTTGGTATCTGTGCCACATGCACAAGGATGCTGTCACTGAATTCGCCAAAGTTGTTAAAGGCTGACATCTTGCAGCGCACCCGGACTTCATACTCTTTGTCAGTATGTAAACCGTAGATTGACTGCTGTGTGCCACTCTCCAGGTCCAGCTGCAATAAGAAAGGATGAAAAAGTGAATAAGAAAAGCACAAAACAAGAGATTGAGCAATAAACTAGCATTTGTGAGCCATTACATTTACTCAGAGAGACAAATCGGTATGTGAAAAGAACTGTGCGTTTTTTCCAGGGCTGTCAATTTAATGTGTAAAGAAATGGTAAACAGATTTAATGTTAATTTAGTTGGCAAAATGGATTACAGTGGACTGTAGGCCAATTACTTTTTCAATGCATATTTAATAACATAATGATTTTTAATTATCTTCCTTTGAGGGGCTTTTCTCAACAATATTATTTATTTGTTTTCCTCCAAGCCTTACATTTTTGTACTAATCTAGCTTTATTTTAAGCCACAAAGAGAATACTAAACTAAAAATAATCCTTAAAGTTTATATCTGAAACTCTCTCGAGGACACCAAAAAGTGAATGTACTTGTATGTGACCTCAGCAGAGGGCCTACAGGAATAACTGTAACAGTGAATCATTTCCCTCTGGTCTATTCAGGCCTGCCAACATACGGCAGTGATTTAACATGTGGCTCAGTGTGGTTTTTCGTGTGTCTGCTCAGGCTGGGCAGGACCGCTGGGCAGGCCGGGGGAACGTGGCTGTCGGGGAGTGTAAAACCGAGAGAGCCCCTGAAGATCCTGCCAGATGCAAAGATCTCCCAGAACCAAGCCTGAATTACAGAGCACATATGACTGCTCTGGACCAGCGGTGACCCTTTTAGAAAGAGTAGATGAATACTGGCTTATAATGTGTCTCCAACACAAAATTGTATTTCTCAGAATACAATAAATAGCGTGGTATAGCCAATTTCCTCCACCGCAATGCCTGGGAGTACATCGAGAGAGGAAGATCAAAACAGCTACAGAATGTTCTGTGATGGTCTGATGAACTCCACAAACTTACTTTTAAAGATGGATTCTCTAGGTTTACATTATTTCATGCTACAGCTCTGCACATTTTTAATCCTTACTGGCTGATAAAAATGTTAAAGTGACGTGACATGACGTGACATGTGGCCAAGTATGGTGACCCATACTCGGATTTAGTGCTCTGCATTTATCCCATCCAAAGTGCACACACACAGCAGTGAACACACACACACCGTGAACACACACCCGGAGCACACCCTTAAAGGTTAGGGTAACACTTAATTTTACGATGCCATTGTGACAAGTTACATGTACTGTACTTACTATAGTAATAACAATAAATTATGCATAATTACTTGCAACTAACCCTAAACCAAACCCGCATCCTAACCCTAACCATATAGTAAGTACAGTACATGTAGTTTATTAATATTACTTAGTACTTAAATGTATAATTACATTGTAACAAGGACACAGTAAAATAAAGTGTAAACAAGGTTAGTTTTAATATATTAATATGAATGATATATTATTTAAGCAGCATTTGTATATTTATTTATGCATGCTTTTACAACCTTTTAACGAGACACTACAGTATTTGCACTAAATAGATAGATATATAAATAGTTAGTTCCAAGTATGTTGACTGCATTATAGTTGCATATCACTTTGCCACATCATCTGACTATTTAAAGCAAGAACATTTTATACAAATTTTATAACAATTTTACTGTTTTTATTACATGACTTTTATTATCTACTGAAAGTGTTGCAATTTCAGTAGCTGGGTGAAAGTTCAAAGCAAATAATATCTGTGACTATAAGTCATGTGTATGGCATATAATCAAAATGAATCTCTCCCACACAATATTGTTACTTTAATAACTGCCCAGAAACATTTTAAGGACATACCATTTCCCAGTGGGAGGCGTTTCTGACCCGGTACTGAACCTGGTACATCAGGCTCATCCAGCCCATCTGCACATCTGCTGACGGAGGGGGAGCCCAGCGCACAAGGATGTCAAAGTGCAACCCTGAGTGACTCACATTCAGTAGAGTCCAGTTCAGCCCAATTGGTGGGTCAGGATGCACTGGAAAGTCACAAAACATTTGAAGTCAGACCTCCAACATAGATCATTCTGTAATTGTGTAAACCTTCATGGAGCAGTTTCACAGCTATTAACTCACCTATGTTCTCCACTGTAAAGCAGGTCTCGTCATAGGTTATGTTCTCACGAACTGAGCGCAGCTGAATGCAGTAGGAGGTCCAGATGTGTGTGAAGGTCTTGTTGAAGTAGCACTCGTTTTTCACAGTATGTGTGTAGTCTGGACACTCCTGCCACTCAGAGAGGGCACTATATGGCAGTTAATAAAGAAAACAATATTATTAGATGTATACAAATATTAGACACCTCATTGCACTGCATGGATTATATGGATAGTTGGCTTGAAATACTTACAAATGATGATGAAAACATTAAATCATACATTACAGTGAGACATGCTATACTCTATCTCAGTGGTTCTCAACTCCAGTCCTCGGGACCCACTGCTCTGCACATTTTGTGTCTTTCTTATCTGACACACTCAGTTCAGTTCATGGATCTCCCTCCTAACGAGCTGACTTGAATCAGGTGCGTTAAATAAGGAAGACATACAAAATGTGTAGAGCACTGAAGTTGAGAACCACTGCTCTATATAAAACCATTTTAAATAGCATTTGATAATTATTTTATAATTATTATGGATGCAGTTTTTATGACCTCATAATTAATGTACTCATACATTTTAGCAATTCATTTTTTACACCACGAGACAATTAAAGGGATAGTTCACCCAAAAATGAAAGTTCTGTCATTAATTACTCACCCACATGTTGTTCCAAACCTGTAAGACCTTTGTTCAATTTCGGTACACAAATTAAGATATTTTTGGTATTTTAAATATTTTTATGGTTGAACCACTGTTGTGGTTATTTTAATAATAATAATAATGAATAATTTTTGCATTTAGCAGACACTTTTATCCAAAGCGACTTACAGTGCATTCAGGCTATACATTTTTTACCAGTATGTGTGTTCCCTGGGAATTGAACCCATGACCTTTTGCGCTGCTAACGCAATGCTCTACCACTGAGCCACAGGAACACTCATCACCATTTTAATGATGACCTTACTACCTTTCCTGACCTTGAATGTGGTAGTTGCATTGCTGTCTATGTAGGGTCAGAAAGCTCTCGTATTTCATCAAAAATATCTTAATTGGTGTTCAGAATATGAGCAAAGGTCTTACAGATTTGGAACGACATGGGGGTGAGTAATTAATGACAGAATTTTCATTTTCACTATCCCTTTAATATAAATTTATATTCATTTTACCCAAAAATGTTAATGGTCCACCAAATGATACACAATTTAAATGAAAAATTATGAACATTTATTAATATAGGCTGCATTTATTTGATTTTAAAAAATACAGTAAAAACAATACTATTGTGAAGAACTTGACCATTTTAAAGAACCGTTTTCTTTTTTGATATTTTTTAAAATGTAATTTATTGCTGTGATGGTAAAGTTGAATTTGCAGCCATTACACAAGTCTTCAGAAATCATTCTAATATAGTGATTTGCTGCTCAAGAAACAATGTTTTCAACACTGATAATATTAAGAAACATTTCTTGAGCAAAATAAGAGACTTCACATACTTCAAAAATCTTCATGATTCCAAATTTATTATTCAAATGTATTAATAATTATTACAATTATTATATTATATTATATTATATTATCTTCATGATTCCAAATTTATTGTTAAAATGTATTAATAATTGTTATATTATATTATATTATATTATATTAGATTACAAAATTGTAGTCTTCTAGACACTGAATCCTATTTAGGAATGTAATACATTTATTTCATTAATCACAGTCTTATCATACTCCTGAGTCCTGTGTAACTTGAATCATTCCATTTTGCCTTCTTTTTATCTGCACATGTGACAGTGCAAGGTCTGCATCTTGGCAGGAGGAACGGCTTTTGTTTATTAAATGAAATGTATCCTCCTCCGCCCTGTCTTTTTCAAACCTTAAGGTAGTTGGTGTCTTTCAGTGTTCGTCTCTTACTTTTTTGTCTGGTAGAAGACCCTGAGAGTTCCAGGCTCAGTGAGGTTCTGGAAGATCCCAGCGCTCCACCAGCAACGGAAGGTCTCCTGCTCTCTGGAGCGGCAGCCCGTAAAATGAGGTCCTCTGCTTGGATCTGAAACAGGAAGAGAAAATTGAACGGGCTATAAAATGAATGAACAGCATGTTTATATTATTATTTACATAGACAAATAAATACATAAATTATTCTTATTATACACTGTATGTACAGTATGTTATCTTTTGGCTCATTGTCAGCTCTGTCCTCTGCAGTTAAGCTCCTCTGGTGCCAAGTTTACCAGCAGCCCTCTCCGTCCTCTGCTTTTGCGCAGCCATAAATAAGCCTTGGAGGGTGCAATTGATTTCTCGTCCTCTATTTCTCCGCTCCTTTCCTAACTGCAGTATAAATCAGCAGAGCTAGTAAGTGGCACCAAATCCGCTAAAGGTATCAAGATTTTCTATGACAGTGTTTTTATTTGATCCCTTTCTAAATTGTAACTGAAAGAGTAAATCCAGGTTAAATTAATAGCGGCTTTGGGGATGGAGAGGGCTGTTAAAAAATCTAATTTACTCTGAAGAAACGTTTCTGCTGAGGATCCCCTGCACACCCATTTTTCCCCATTCTCCTTCGTCTAGCCCGCGTCTAGTGACAACAAGATGTATTTCCCCCGTCCCACAGCTGCTGAGCGCAACAAAACTGCACCACGGTTACACTGGTCAGGACTGATCATGTGGGGAAGGGATTTCCAGTGGCTTAAGTGTGTGAGTTCACAAGAACGCATTCACATGCACATAAAACGTAAACACAAACCTTGCTTATGATGGTGCGCTGAATTACTACAATGAGAAAATCACATTATTATTTGATTTTAAAAACAAAGCTACTTCAAAATCACTTTACAATGATAAATATCGGTACATAATGCTTCTAAAACAACTTGACAGACTGTCAGGGTCCAAAAAGGACAAAAACCAGGGATGCACAATATATTGGTACCACTATAGTTATTGATAACAGAGAAACTCAGAATTATTGGATCTTTAGTTGTGCATGCTGATTTTTACATTTAGATTATGTTTCCCATTATCTAATGCCCACTTAAGGTTTTTTAAAACACAATCATTCAATAACACTGTAATCTTTTGCAAATCTCAAAATAAATATCAATTCTAATTATAATAATGCATAAATTCACTTGTAGAATTTACAATGACTGATTTTAGTTTTTAGTGTTTTATTTTTCATTTATACAGATTAAATTTATTTAAATAGTAACAGAATTTTTATATTAGCCAGTTAAACAAAAAATATCTTTCAGCCATTCTCAGTCATCATTTAATAAAAATCTCTGCTGCTCTCAAATAAAATCTCAAAATGGCACATAAAACTGTTGTTGTATATGCAAAACAACAACTCTGCATGAAAATTTTTCATAATGCTCCTTTTCTGTACCATGTATTAAAAAAAAGTAACAGCATGTGAGAATGAGACAGAGCTACCTAAATCACTAATAGACACTAAAGCTTTAGTCTGGATTTTCTCTCTCTCTTCCCCTTTCTGACTCCCAAAATTCTGTTATTGCTACACCCTCCCCCTCGAAATTCCAGCATGTGCAATAAAAGAGCCTGCTATGGAAGCGATTAGGTCTGAGACGAACAGATGATTTGTGGGCCACTGCGGAAAGGATGGGGACAGAACAGATAGGGACATTATCACCACTTAATTGTTCCTGGTCAATATTTGGTTTGGTGCTGGAAAGGGGGCTAAAAAACAGCACAACGGTCTTCAAGCACACACAATTTGCTCTCAAAAAACGTTGCAAAAGCAGCTGTAAAAAGGCCAAATTACAACTTCGGGACCAGTTTCAACTGTGTTAGATGTCAGTTTGGAAACTTTTTATCACAAACAAATGGGATGTGGTACAAGTGGAAAAATGACCAATGTGCTTTGGCTACGCTTTTGATGAGGTAAACTATAAAGTATAAAACCAGCTGCTCTCATGCAAAAACAGAATATAATTTAAAATCATCTTGTTTTTTCTTTCTTTGCTACAAAGCAACCTCCCATAATATTAAGCAGAGAATGCAAATTGTTTGTGGGATGTTTCACCACAATCTCTTTTTTGATAATTATACAAGCAGTAGGGGTGGGGGAAAAAATCGATACAGCATAGTATCGCGATATTTTCCGCGGCAATACTGTATCGCTACACGGACGCCAAATATCGATCTTTTATTATACTATTTGGTAGAATAATAAAATAAATTTTTTTACAGTCCACTAGATGGTGGTGAGTTTTTTTTCTAAAATCCTTTAATGCACGGCAAGCCGTTGATTATCCCGCTTATTCCATGGTAATTTGCCAAGTTATAGACAAGTTAAAACTAGTATTGCTCTTTGCAGTGCAATATTTGACAGAATGGGTAAAAATTACGGTTATTTTCGTCAGTTACAGAATTATAGAATTACAGAATTATAACATTCATTTGAATTAATTATCGATTGTTTGTTCGAGAGAGAGGAAGATGACAGTTGTGTGTGTGAATTACCTGCGTCTGTGCGTCTCTCTACAAACAATGAAGTTGTTAGTTTAGTTACTCAAACAGAGATTTTTCCTCTTCGTTGCTGAGGAATATAATGCAGTGATCCAGTTTCTAAACCATTTTATTAATAAAAGTAGCGGGGCAGTGTTGACAAGTTTATGTTGGCCTAGTCCTGAACGTTTCTGTGTGTGCAGCGGGATCACTCTCTCTCTCTCTCTCTCTCTCTCTCTGTGCGAGTGATGTGTGTGTGCGTTTGTGTGTGTCAATTAAAGCAGCGGCGCATTAATACAGAACTGTGATTAAACTGACTTGGAACTACCTGTGCATTAAACGGTTTCAATGCATATCTGCCAGCTAATCAGAATCAAGAATTCCAACAGACAATGGAATAAATGAAAGTAAAATATTCTAAGAGCACAGCAGTGTATAATATACCTGTTGTAGCACATTGTTTACTTTAAGAGTACATGTTATGTTTAATTTAAATGTAACATTTTTATTTTAATGTAAGACTATGTTTTATTTATTTTAAATTTAACAGTAATTTACTTTCAAATGCCCCAATTGCTGAAGGGTCTGCACAAATTTTTGTACAAGTTCAAGTTGCTTTGTTTAAAATACCTGTAGTAGCACAGCAGTGCATACCTGCTTACATTTAATTAAGGTGGACTAGACTAGACTGTAATACAAATAGTTGAGTTTGCCAGGTGCATACAACATTTATGAAAGGTTTTCATGAAAGTGTTGGTCAGTTTGTCTGCTTGACAATCCCATTTTGCACTGCAACAATAAAACTGAAGTGAGATAAACAAACTGAGAAATGTTTCTTTTTAGTTAAAACAGATGTTGCCAAAGTTTTCCTTTGGGGACATAATTTGAAGTTGGAAAAAGGTAATAAATTGCAATATATTTAAAATCGCAATAATATTGTATCGTGACACAAGTATCGTGATAATATCGTATCGTGGGGCCTCTGGTGATTCCCACCCCTAACAAGCAGTGAGTTATGCAGTTTTTGTGCATAAAGTATGAGTTGAAACTTTTGAGCCAAGGTACTTGCGCAAAATAGAGCTCATCTATCATGCAGATGTTTGGCAGAGCTGTGGAATACTAATCTGCGTATGTGGTTCTGAAGGCATGAATATTTTGGACATGTACTGACCAGCGATTTCTACTCAAGAGACGTTACAAATCATTAATGAAATGCAATATGGATTTTTTATACACTTGTTTCAGCATGAAATGCACCGAATGAATCAAATTAGGTTTTTTTTCAGTTAGAACTTTAACACTGATTTTGCGAGTCGTGAGGTCAAAATTCTTCATGTGATTCTGTTAATTCCCCCCCCCCACACTCCATTTCAGGTACTTATGAATAATAAATGAACATGCAGTTGCTTATGCACACACCTCCTGCTTGCAAACTTAAATAAAGCTACAGCTTCTGTGGGTGAAGGTTTCCCGCGAATGAAAAACATGATGTTTACTCAGCTTCCCGCAAAGACAGACCACCGGTAACTAGGATACCAGCCCAGACAGAAAGCCAGGACAAATGTTTTCCACTTCAGCAAGCCGCAAACTTCGGAATAAATAGGCCACATTTCAGCAATTAAACCATCTTGATGGATTGCGATCACTTGAAAAAGCACCTTTATCTCTGGCTGTCCAGCAAATGTCTCGATTGGCTCAGGGTTATGAGCTGATGAGCAGACGCACCATATTTTCCAGCTCATTTGCTGCAAAGACGACAGTTTAATAGCAGAATCAGAAGAAAGTGCATACTTCAGCGAAGCTAAGAGACTGTCAGATAGCATGTGTCCGCTCGCACAGTGTCGGTTACACATGTGCACTTATGAGAGCACTTATATAAGGGCTTGTGAGCTTTTGTATGTATGCTGTTACAGTTGTGCGTCATTCTGGAACCATGTGAAACTCATTTGACAGTGAGCATCACTGTGCCCTACTGACACTGAAGCACCTAAAGTAAGCACTAAGAAGCTGTACGTCACATTAGTGGCACTGATTTAAATTGACACTTATAGAGGCAATTTAAATCAGAATGTTACCTTGATAACACGGCTTTGCTTCATTGAGTTGTCTTTAAATAGAGAAACAGCTAGCCACCATGGTTTTTAAATAACAAACCTTCGAAAAACAGCAGTTCATTTCATGAAAGAATTTACAAATTAATAAATTATGACTTACATTAAATACAAACTCCTTACAGATCGAAGGACGATTTTTTATTCACATTTTTTAAGAATGTTAAGTACTCAAACTGAACATTTCAAACACAGAACCTTAAACAATTACTGCATACAGTAAAAATAATAAACCAATCAAGACATTCTATATAAATACATTACCATTCAAAAGTATGGGGCCTGTATTTTTTAAAGAAATAATACTTTTATTCAGCAAGGATGCATTGTATTGCTCTAAACTGACACTACAGACATTTATAATGTTACAACATTTTCTATTTCAAATTAATTCCGTTTATCTTTCGAACTTTCTATTTATCAAAGAACCCTGGGAAAAATGTATCAAGGTTTTGTTTTCATCATTTAT